TGTGACTATGCTTGTCATTAATAAGGTATAACTAATTTTACAAAAAACTGTAGCTGAAATTTCCAGAAATTTTAATTTAAATATAATTTCAATCATAATCCAATTTGACAAAAAAAAAAAATTATAATACGAACTGTAAATGGCAACGTACCGGATAGTAAGGGGCCGATGCAACGACGCTTGCAGGCGAAGATAGGTTCATTGAAAGAGCATAAACAGCTGCAGCGAGTAGTTGTGTGGAACCACCGCCAAATACTACTGTAACAACAAATTCTTATCTGCGATATAAACAAACAAGAAAAATTGAACAAAGATGATTTTATTGAATTAAAATAAATAAATTGCGGGCTACAATCTCTATTTTAATCCTCTGATTCTTCTCTCTAGAAAAATATATAGTTGACTTGAATTTTCGGAGTCGGGTCGTTGACTTGATCTTCTCCGGATTTGATTTTGGATTTGAATAACGTTTTTCAAGGGTCTTGCGACTTGAATCTCGGATCGAACGTTGAACTTTGACTTGATTTGACTTGAAGATCTTGAAATTCTTGATGGATTTGGCCCTTCAATCTTCCAGTGATCTTGACTTGAATTGATTAACGTTAATCCGAAGGTTTGGCACCGTTATCTCGGATCGAACGCTAGATTTGATGAAGAATGCCTTGAATTTGCTCAAGAACACCTCGAATATGACGAAGAACACTTTGAATGTAGAGAGAGAATCTTACCTCCTACGAATTCTTCTTCCTTGCTTCTTGAATTGTAGAGAGAATTTTGCTCCTACGGTTTTTGCTTCTTCAGTTGTCTTTGAATTGTGAAGGGAGGGTCCCTATTTATAGTGGTAGAATAAGAGTCCTTGATGGGCCTTACTGATGATGTGGCGCGATTTGATTGGCCCGATTAAATTGATATTTATCTCTTGTAACTTGAGGGAGAAGAAATAATCCTATTGGTCAATATATATATTTAAAATCAATTATCTATTTAATTTAGGAATTAATTTAATTAAATTCCAAAATATATAATCGATAAATATATATATATATATATGACCGCATATATACGAGTCTTCAATTGGCATCTAAGTCCTTCGGCTATGTATAATTACACAAATGCCATTGGATCAAACTTTATCCCATATATAATTTAGCCATTTAATTGGCTTAAATTTTATTCTTCTACAAAATGCCCCCACTTCTAGTCTCGGCGACGAACAAATTGAATGTTTGTGAGACGAGACTTGAAGTAAATAAGGCGTGAATATTGGAATAATTCATAGATGTATTTGAGCTTTTCATGAATATACCCCACATATATTCAATTTATAGACTTTAAATATAAAGCCACTAGAATTTTCCAACCCGAGAATGCATGGCTGTTCTTGCAAAGAATGATCAATCTGCTCTATCGATGCTTTCTTTCCTCGATTTGCGTTATAAAATATAATTGGGCCCACTTGAATAAACAAATAGAATTTCAATTGCAATTGGAATCCTACATGAGAATAACATCTGCTTCAGCAGCCCCTTTTTTTTTTTTTATAACATTTTTTTTTTTTCATGGGCCCACTCAAAACTTCAATTGAATTCCCTGTAGAGGACTTCAATTTCTTTTGGTTAGAGAGTCCCTCTCCTACCTATGTTATACTTCAGCACAATTAGTTTCAAAAAAAAAAAAAAAATTATTCCTTTGTCCACATGGACTTCCAACACGTGAAGAATGGAAGCATTACTTCTTCTAATTGATCTCTGACTCTTTTCCAATTAGACGAATGGAATCCTAACTTGAATCGATTTATCATCGTCCATGGCCTATAAAAAGAGGTGCCCTCTTCACTTTTTCTTCATTCATCGGCACCCAGCCTCTGTCTGAAAATACTTTTTTTTTTTTTTTTTTTTGTGTATGTTCAGATCCCTTGTCTCTTGTTTGCTGCTGCTTGTGTTTGTTTCAAGGTAAGCTTTGCATATTAAATATTTGTACAACAAGTTCTCCTCTGTATGTCAACCATGTGCTTGATAATATGACAATGAGAACCTTTTTTTTTTTTTTGTTTTTTTTTTTTTTGATTCCAGATTAGTTCCACCCATCAAAACTAAGCCCTCTTTTCCTTATTCACTCAAGTTTTCGCAACTCGAAATATTCGGCACGAAACTCGGTAGAATGTTCGATTTTAGCACAGTCCTTGCCCTCGCTCCTTTTTTTTTTTTTTTTTTTTTTTGGTATTTCGAACTTATCGCTCTTTCTTTAAATTGTTTTGATAGATTTTCCGATGGTTTGCTTCAAGCAAGCTTTCTCCTCTTCCGGCGACGAGCAATTGGTAATTCTTGACGATCGTTACCAACCGAATGACAAAGGAACTGTCTTGACGATTTATGCCCCCCTTATCGGTTCTTACGCAAAGCAATGGCCACGTCTCACGACTCCGAATCGCATGTCCGTTTGGTCCCACGAGCATCCTCATAATAAGTACGAGTACGTGTATAGCTTGCGAGCATCAAATCATAAACCCGACAGATCCTTGCTTCCGGAAGAGTCAAGCGGTCCGAGCCTTCTGCCGACTTTGGGTGGCAACATCGTGGAGGGAAAAGTCAAGTGGGGAGATACTCTCGAGCTTTCCGGCGGCTTTCAATTCTTCAAAGGGTACTGGGAATGGACCGAAGACGTTCTCAGCCGTTGCCAGCACAAGCTAAAGTCTGCGAAGATCTACGATTCTGTATATGCTTCCCTTTTCACGTACGACTACAATTCCGAAATCATGAAGGCGTTCTTCGAGGCATGGTGTCCGACTACAAATACCCTCTTGACGTCTCCCGGAGAAATGTCTATCTCTTTATGGGATTTGCACATCCTCTCCGGGCTACCGTTAACCGGGCTTCTTTACGATGAAGTTGTCCCTGCCTCTCAAGAACTCATTGGTACCGATGCAAAGGGTGTTCGATATTCTCACCGTTCCTGCCGATATCTATTCCATGTCTACCACTTACTTCGGAAGCGCTCTAAAGATCCTTCCTCCAACGTCTCTGTCGAAAGCTGGATTCAGTTTTGGTCGAAGAAGCAGAAGAAGTACACTCAACCTCCTCCACGCAAAGAAAAGAAAAGTGTTCGCCCCAAGTCAACTCACAATCCTTCCGGCAATATTGAAGCACATGCAAAATGGATCAACATTGAAGAAGCTGTGTTTTCGAGCATTAGCGTTGATGTCGAACTGAGGTCCGAGACGTACTTGGCGGCCCATTTGGCTTGTTGGCTTTGTACCTTCGTCCTCCCTACTGATGATGTGGGCATGATACGTCCTTCAACGTTCAAGATGGCTAGCATAATGGCGAGTGGCGAAGAAGTCTCTCTTGCAGTTCCTGTCTTAGCAAGCATCTTCAACGGCATAAATAGGATTTCGAGATCCTTGAGACCCCATCAAGAGAACTCTCCGTTTCCTATTCACTTCGTCTATAGTTGGTTGGCGCTTTATTTCAAGACCCATTGTCAAGTTCTGCAAGGCGTAGCCGTCGATGGCCCAAAGATGATATCTTATTCCGGAGAAGGAAGCGCTAGATACTACACTCCCGCGGATGCACGCAAACGGATTCACAAAGGAGATCTTATGTCTTGGACTTGCACCACGATCCCTAGGAGCGAGTCTTCTTTATATGTTGATGATGAAACAACAAAAGGGTCCGAGAGAAATTATTTCATCGCCATTCGCTCGAGCTATCTCTCCTTGTGGCGTGGTAATCGTTTCGTTATTGAGCCATATAGTCCTCATCGGTTTAGCCGTCAATTTGGGTTTTACCAAGATGTGCCTGGAGTACTTGATGAAGACGTTCGCGAGGCTTCTTTAATAGATGGACTCCGTTATTGGCGTCTATGTGTTTTGCTCGAGTCCATGTCTAAAGTGATATTTTCCGTCATTCCTCAAAATTCGAGAAAGTTTCACACGGACGGCTATAAAAGATGGTGGACTAAAGCTTACGGAACTTATCTTGAAAATAAAGTTGCGAGTTTGGTGAACTTGGAGTTAAGTAAGATTCCACTTGAAGACAAAGAAGATGAGGCAAGAAATAGTCTCGGCAATCTTTCTCGCGGAAATGTGCTCCAAACCAAAAACCCTCCTGGAGATATAAAGAAGAGGAACGTTTTGCCTCCGTCGGATGAGAGTGACGATAGCCACATAGAACGTCATTGGAAAAGGCCGAAGAGGGACCCGCAATCTTCAAAACCACAAGATCTTCATATTGATAACAGTATGGACAGTCATTCTCGAACAAATGACACATTTGCTGAGAAGGTTGCACTTAACACTTTCCCTTTTTTTTTATTTATATTTTTTTTTATTTTTTTTATTTTTTATATTTTTTTATTTTTTTTTTCTTAATGATTTTTTTTTTTTTTTTTTTTTTTTTTTTTTAGTTGGAAAACGAGATAATTAACGTTGATGATCGCGAGGAATCTCAAGCTAGTCATCACTCAACTGCCAAGGCTTGCTCAATGGGTGCAACTTTGTCGCCGACTGCTTTAATGCCTGCCAGAGCATCCAAGATGAAAGAGACTGCGAAAGGGTCGTACAATGGTGCTTGTTCAGTTTTTGTGGGTGAAAGTTTTCTGAAAAATCACAAGCGGGTTTTTCTTCGCCAATTATGGCAAGATCTTCGTGCGAGGATAGTACGGACTTCAATTGATTCCATCTCGTCTATTCAAGAAGATGTCCAATTAGTTCTTGGAACCATGAGGGATCTTGGTGATTTCGACATATCTTGCATAGAGGAATCATTGAAGTCATTATTTTCCCAGGCGACGGCTTATGATAAGGTGAGGTCGTCGAACTCTGAGAAGACATCTAAAGAGATTCTATCACGACAATTAGATGAGGCTAAAGATCGTTTGCATACTACTCAAGCTAGAGACACAAAGAGACTCTTCAAGTTCAAGTCACCAATAGTGATTTGGAGAGTGTCAAGAAAGAGCGTGCTGCTTTGAAGGTGAGGGTGGGACAGTTGAGATCATCATTAAAGCGACAACGAGAACTCCTTCATACTGTTCAAATTGAAATTCGTGAGATTAACGAAGAAATTGCTGCCATTGAAAATACATCCCCTTTAAGTGATGATTTGGTAGAAGAATTGCGCGCTTCTGCCGAGCTTTTAAGAGATGCCAAAGAAAAGTTGAACGATTTAGACCCTTTCGCTTGAGCTAGATTTAGATTTTTTTTTTTATTGTTTATTCCACTTTTATGATTCATGAAATAAAAAAAAAAAAAATCTCCCTTTCCATCTTGTTTCCTTAGTATTCTGCACTTATATTTTCAACGATTTTTTTTTTATTTTTTATTTTTTTTTTTTTTTTTTTTATGAAAGGACTGAACTTAGAGAATATCTAAGCTGCCTACGTACCCCGAATGGGATCAAGTCATAACGTAGTTCAAAGGAAAAAAAGATAGATTTTTTTTTTTTTAGGAAAGGACTGAACTTAGAGAATATCTAAGCTGCCTACGTACCCCGAGTGGGATCAAGTCATAACGTAGTTCAAAGGAAAAAAGATAGATTTTTTTTTTTTTTTAGGAAAGGACTGAACTTAGAGAATATCTAAGCTGCCTACGTACCCCGAGTGGGATCAAGTCATAACGTAGTTCAAAGGAAAAAAGATAGATTTTTTTTTTTTTTTTTTTTTTTTTTTTTTTTTTTTTTGGGAAAGGACTGAACTTAGAGCTCCGCTTC